ATGTTAAATAGAGACAGTTTTTATTATCATCCTCATAGCATACCTTCCTTTTAACATTATTTTATTATTTAGCCCCCTCCAGTATGAAATGTTTGGCCACAAACAAGTTTTTGTCCTGTGGGAACTGTTTATTTAAATGTTATTATTACCACCAAATTAAGATTCCATGACTTTTTTTTTTAAATATAAGGGTTTGTGACTTTGAAAAAAAATCACAGTTCCGGGTTAGAGAAAAGAAAGTGGCAGTGGGGCTCAAGTTGTCTAAACAGCATGGGAAATATGATACAATTTGATGTTATTTAAAGCAAAAGAGATGAGTCTGAGCTTAAGGATTTTGTAGAATAAGCAAGATTTTGCAAGTGATTTTCCTGTGGTTCTTTCACCCCACCCCCAGCCTATCTTCCGCAGCCCAACTTAGGAATCCTAAAGAGCCAATCCGATCACCTGATTCCCTTGCTGACAACTTTGAAGTTCAAACTCCTTATAGGGCCACATGGGGCTCCGCAGGACCTGCCCTTTCTCTAGGCTCATTTCGTGCCTCGACCCACCTTAAAGAGCCCATCCCATTGGCAGGCCTTGCTATTCCCTCTTCCTCTGCATGTGGGCTCACCACCATCCTCCAGGAAATGCTTCCTTTGAACCTTCCAAAACTCACCTTTCCTTTGAGGCTTCATTGAACCTTCCTCTTTGGCCTGTTGCCCCCATCGACACCTTCACTGTAGTAATCATGGTATGGTATTGTAATAACTGATTTACACACCTTTTTCCTCATCCCAGCCTTTGCACTGTCCTTGACACACAGTAGGTGCTCTATAGATGTTTGCTGAATAAATGAGTCCTTGGGTTAAATACAACATCCCTCTCCTTTCAGCACTTTGAAAGTGCTCAGAAAAAGAAAAGGGAACGACTAAAGTGTAGACAGTTTAAATGGAACACAACATCACTCTGTCTGGGGTGCCCCCAGCCGCTGGTTAAGGAGAAATAAGAATAAACATAAAGGCCAGCACAGTGGCTCACGCCTGTAATGCTAATACTCTGGGAGGCCAAGGGGGGAGGACTGTTTGGGGTCAGGAGTTTGAGACCAGCCTGAGCAAGAGTGAGACCCCCCCGCCCCCCACACACACACAAATAGAAAAATTAGCCAGGCACGGTGATGCGCCCCTGCAGGTCTAGCTACTTGGGAGACTGAAGCAGAAGGATCGCTTGAGCCTAGGAGGGTGAGGTTGCAAGGAGCTATGGTCATGCCACTGCACTCTATCCTGGGCAACAAAGCAAGACCCCAAAAAATGAAAAAATAACTATAGAGACCAGGATCCCGGCATCACTGTGGAGCTGCTGCAACTTCCCTTGTTCACAACGGGCAAGATGTTGATGCCTATTCAACAACGAAGAATTTCGAGTAGTGACAGTAGAGCATTAAACGATAAGCAGTGTCCTTTCCAACTGCACAGGTGGCACATCCTGCAGTTGCATCGTAATTACAATATCAAGAAGCGTAAGAGAGTAGAGAGGCTGGGAGAAATGTCGGATACATTTTTTAAAGAGTAGCTTTAGGCCAGGCACGGTGGCTCACGCCTGTAATCCTAGCACTCTGGGAGGCCGAGGCGGGCGGATTGTTTGAGCTCAGGGGTTCGAAACCAGCCTGAACAAGAGCGAGACCCCGTCTCTACTAAAAAAAATACAAAGAAATTAATCGGACAACTAAAAATATGTAGAAAAAAAAATTAGCCGGGCATGGCGGTGCATGCCTGTAGTCCCAGTTACTCGGGAGGCTGAGGCAGGAGGATCGCTTGAGCCCAGGAGTTTGAGGTTGCTGTGAGCTAGGATGACGCCACGGCACTCTAGCCAGGGCAACAGAGTGAGACTCTGTCTCAAAAAAAAAAAAAAAAAAAGAGTAGCTTTAAAATATGTAAAAATGTTGTTTTAAAATGTATTTTCTGATGCCACACTTTTCATAAGACCCCTAACCATTATACGTTTGTTTTCATTTGTAAGTGCAGAATCTTTTAAAAAGTATATTATTTTATTTTAAATTGTTTTAGGGAAAATGCCACATACTCCTCCTTTGTCCTTAAGAAATTATGCTACAACTCACACTCCACTACTTGCCCCTGAAGTAAACAAGTCATTATTGCATTTCCTTCATTCAATCCCAAAATTTGGGAGAGGAGGAAGAGAAGACTGGCTGGGCTTTTGCAGGATTCTGTTAATATGAAACACATTTATCACTCTTTCACTGATTTTTTAAAAAATCTTGCATCCTTAGTTCTCCATTCAATAGCAGCCAGTCTCTCAAAATGGGATTATTTTTGGTAACAATCTTAGTAAATTAAAAATTGTTATGTTTAAACCCTAAATAAACTTGGTATATCAGAGATCACTGTGATGAAATATTGGCATATGCTGATAAGGTAAAATGAAGATTTATTATGGGGTCTTTAAAAAACGCCAAGCGGGAAAGTTGCTTTGCACTGCCGCGAGGTCTCCAGCAGGGGGCTGCGGGCGAGGAATGCCCCACCCCAGCCTCCCCCAGCAGCCCTGGCTGCCTACGCGAGGGTATCCCGTCTCTAACCGGCTCTCTAAATGGGTACCTGCTCTGCGTTCCTTTCTTGCCTTGACTCCCTGCCCGGGAAAGCAGCAACGGGGCCACACACCATTAGTGACTGCAACACTATTAGGTGCAGCAAGGACAGGACCTGCCCAAGAAGCCAGACCAGTGGACAAATGCCAGGTGCCAAACTTTCTTCAAGTCCTCATCTCGTGCTCCCCACGTTTGGCTGTTGCCCTGTTCTCTTCTATACATGGCTAAATTCGCGAAACAAAATCATTTTACTATCCTAATTTCTCTACAACATAAAATTTTCACCAGTCAGCATCAACAGAATAGATTGGATTGAGTCAGAATTCTTTAACTCAGTTTTCTCACCTGCAAATGACATGATTACCACCTACTTCACAGGGCCTCTTAAAACTCAGCACAAGGAGGTACATGGAGGTGACCGGTAGAGTAGGGACTCAAATGTTCATCTCCCCATTTTTTTTTTGTTGTTGACTGGGGCACTTGTGTTACTGAGAAGTCAGGGCTGCAGAAGGTGGAAGAGAAAACGGCTCTCAAAAACAGTTGTCGGAGAGACAATCTCAGACTGTGAAACACCAGCAGAGCCCAATTTGTACGAGCTCGTCTGCAGATGACTCTGCACCTGCTGCTCCCTGCTTAGATTCTCTCACCTAAGAACAAACACGCACACAGATGCCCACTGAGCTAAAAACGCCTACAACGCAAAGAAATACACACACCACAACGAAATTAACTGCGCAGAAACACAACAGCAAGCTCTCAGACACATACCTTGCGGAATACACACCGATGCGCCGAAGGCGTGTGGGGTGGGACGTGAGCTGCACACAGCCTGGGCAGGGCTGGCAGAGGGGATGGGGGCCAGCGGTGAGGGCCGGAGGCAGCACCTGGGTGGGGACCACAGAAACCCACGGACTGTGCAACCTGTGACTTGCAGGCATAGTAATAACATTTTACCTTAACAATACCAGGGACATCTCTTAGCTTAAATAACTAAAAACATAACTTTGGCTTTCTTAATTACTTTGTAGCATTAAATTGGCCCTCACAAAAATTCCTATAAAAACCATTAATTGCCCTAGAGATAAAGTTCAGCAATGGGACCAGGGTTGCTCCTCTGCTTATAACCAGGATTTCATGACTGAGACAGGAACAGTACAGGATGAACCTACATGAGTGGCTCTCCCTCAATAGCAAGGCGTATGCTCTATTAGGAGGCACTTTTGTACACTCTCCCTACCCATGACCCTATGATCAACCCCAACACAAAGATTCTATACTTCTGGATCACACCGCGGCCAGCATGCCCAACACTAAACAAACAGGAATCCAAGTAAACAAAAAAGGCAATTCAGTTTTGTAAGAAACAATATATTTTATTTTTCTGACACCACAGCTCTGGCGAGTGGTTTTGTACCAAATTTAATGGAGGTTACACAGAACGTTTTACGCATGGGAGGGGGAGGAAAGGGAAGGAACCACAAAATTTAAAACAAAAACAAAATCCTGGATAGCTTTTAGCATCTGTTCCACCCCCACATTAATAAAATTCACTTGGGAATTCCTAAGAAAAGGAGAACTGAAAACGAGGTGGGCAGGGAAGGAAGGGTACGCTGGGGAAGAGAAAGACGAAGGGGAAGAAAGACCAGAGAGCATCCCAAGGACAGACCTTTCCCTCCCGGAGCCAGGAGGGCGCCCGGCACGGAAGGCGAGGCTTCGCTAGATTTATTTCCCCAACACCGTGTATTGCAGCTGCCAAAGGGAAAAAGAGAGGAGGGAAGCAGAGGGTCACCAGCGGGGGCAAAAGGGAAGGAAATACACTTAATGGAGGAGACGGGGCAAAACGGGAGAGAGAAAACGAGAGAAAAATGTGACGGTGGGTGGGTATACTGGGAGAGACACAGAGTGCTGAAGAGCACTTGAACTGAAAAACAAATGTCCTAAACTTCGTTATTTTTAAAAACAAAAATTCCCCCCTCCCCCCACCCCTCGCTGAACTTAGTTCCTTTTTTTGTGCTTTTCATTAATACTCTGCTCTGAGGTCGTAGTTTGGTTTTTCTATACACTGGAGTTGAAAGAAAATAGTCCAAAGGTCTGAAGATGGATTCTCCACCTAAAGTAAACAGCCCAGCATTCCTGTTCTCCTCTTGCCCCAAAGACTAAAGTCTCTGCTAAAATCCCTTTTACAATATAGTACAGTACACAAAAAAATAAAGCCCAAATCAAAAAAACAAAAACAGAAAAGAATCCTGGGAGAAGCCAGTCCAAAGGACGTAAACATACAGAGAACGGTGCAACACGTGACCGATGGCAATTCTCAAAGCACGGCTACAGATTCCCAAAAGGAGGTGCCATCACGGGATACCCAAGTCCACAAAAATAATTTTTAAAAAATAAATCTTAAAAAAAACACACCTGTTGATTAAATGAATAATTTGTTTTCAGGTAAATCCATACATTCTCGAGCTCCCCCCTCCCCCAAAGCAGCCCTCGGGTCTCTGTTCTCCTATTGCATGACCAATAGCAAGTACTCCTGGAACTCCCTCAAAGCAGCTCACAGGACCTGGAATCTCATCTTGACAAGGATCGGCACATCCAATCTTAGCAGCTTAAAACATCATGTTTCCTGGGTTGCCAGGTCCTTGGCTAAATCCACCCATGCCCACGTCAGCAGCCATGCCCCGGGGCCTCATCTGTGGGGGGATCATGATGTTCTGTTGGGGTCCCATCATGCCCTGCATGGACATCATCATGCCTGGAGAGCCCACAGGCCCAGGGTGGGTGTAGAGCCCGGCAGGCCCCCGATCCTTGCCAGGAATCATGCCCACAGCAGCAGCTGGATTGCTCATAAGGGTGGGCTGGCCCGGCATTGTAGATTGTGCTGGTGACATCATCCGATGGTGAGGTCCCATCATGCCTTGCTGGAGAAAGGCTGGTGGTCTCATGGGGTTGTGGCCTGGCATGGATGGAGCTGTACCAAGAGGGATGTCCGGAGTTCCCACTGGCCCTGGACCTCCCATGCCAGGTAATGCTAGTCCCATTCTGGGGGCTTGTTCGCCCATCATCCCCTGCATGTGCGAAAACCCAGGTCCAGGACCCTGGGGCTGTTTCCGGCCTGGGACTTCCCCTCGAGGGAAATATTGCAGTGTCTGGCTAGGTTTCTCCGATGGAATAATGCGGGACAGATCAAACTCAGGTATTCCGGTGGCTCCAGGTCGGATGACCTCCTGCAGATCTGGGTCTGTAAACACCGAAGGCATGCTGTTCCCCAGGACAGTGAAGGAGTCAGGACCCCCGGGGCCTCCAGGCTTGCAAAGTGCTGCATCTGCTGAACTTTGGGGCAGGTTGCTGGGGCGGCCAAGGGGACCTTCTCCTGGGAAACCCATCCCTCCTGGGAAGCTGCCCTGCCCCCCACTGGGGCCATTGTGAGGGAATGGAACCTGCTGTGGGGGAGACTGTACTGGAGGGAAGCCTTGGGGGAAGCCCATCCGTCCTTGAGGTACCAGTGGTGGTTCCTGGGACCCATGCCCCATGATAGGATTGTGTGACATCAAGCCAGGCCCCATTGGGACCCCATGAGGAGGTATGTTGGGTCCCATGGCATTCGGAGAGGGCATCTGATTGGAGTGAGAAAGTGGCTGGGTCATTCCCATTGGGCTGAGGGTTGGCATCGGAACCACGGGGTTTGGACCTGAAATTCGAGGATTCTGTGTATTAATGCCCATTCCTAGAAAAATAAAGATATCAAAGGAATCAACTTAACCAAAAGCAACTCAGAAAAACTATAATAAATCAAATTAGGAAAAAAATTATTGTGCATCTAATGTGCATAGTACTATGCTGGGAAAACATATGATATACAATCCCTACCCACGATAAGATTATAATACATCTGGGGACATACAAACCAACAGCTGTACAAGACAATGTATTATTGAGTCTTATCCTGTATGATAAAGGAGGGTGTACATGATAGCAAGGAGAAAATTCTCCTGTGTGAAAAGTTATAAATTAATACACAGATGAGTGTAGTCTTCTTTATTGGAGATATTTAACACAGAAGAAAACAATTTGCCTGCATGACTGAAGTATGGCCCTTCTGGAGAAAAAGGATTAATCAGTTCTACAATTCTAATTAACAGAAATAATAACAAAACCCAAACAGGTCTTTTTTCAGTTGGCATTATTTTGTATTGCCTTATAGAGAAAGCATTTAAAACTCTAGGTTACACGAACTATTAAAGAAACAGTAACAATGAAAAAGGAAAGCGCATACATTCTACTACAGTCTCTGGGACGTTGAAATATTTGGCCTTTCTGTGGAATTACCGCTGAGTATGGTAGGGATGGTGCTTATGCTGTCCACAAACCAGGCCCTAACCTGGTTAAGTAGGATTGCTGATACACAAACAGCATTCCTAACAATCAGAACAGAATCAGAAACAATCTTAAACCCATGGCTGAAAAGTCTTGGTCTCTTTGTTGATCACCCTCACCATCCCAGATTATTTCCTGTTAGTGAGGTTGGCAGGGCTCGGGTGGGCTGGGTACAGGAATGAAGGCATACAGAATGAATCTCTCTAGTCCTAAAGAAAGGGCTTCTCTAGGAAATAGGGGCTTTCCACTGTCTGAAACCCTGTGGCTGTGGTTTGAGGCTGCCCTTCCAGGAAAATATTTGAGAACTAAGGGCATTCCCAGCAGCACGTTAAAAAGAAACCGCTTTCAATATTGCTATAGGAGGACCAAAAGAGAAAAAACAAAACAAAATAAAATACAAATAAATTTGTATTAATAAATAATAAAAATACAAATTTGCAAAACCCATCCATGTACACAGAAGCATCAGAACTACAAGGAAACCTGTTTTCTTATAAATACTGACTCAAGCTAATTAAAAATTGTTATCTTCCTCTAGTCAACACACTTTAATTCTACTGAAACTAACTTAGATGGTACATTTTTTCAACTTGTTGAACTTCCACCAATTCAGGCCTCCAGCCATTAAGAAAACACTTCAAGAGGTTTCTTTTGTCTGGCACTAGCTCCATGGCCTCTTTTTCTGGTTTCTTACCTGGCATATTATTCATTGATGGCAAGTTGGGAGAACGAGCTGGAGGGGAGTCATCATCTGAGCTGGCCACAGTCTTGATGGCATCGTGGTATAACGGGGTAGAACTGGGCATTGCAAACTTGGACATTCGAGACATCATAATAGAGAGTGGGTTCTGGGAAAGGGTTGGCTCTGGAGGCATGGTGTAGGGTGTGCTAGAGGGAAGACTTCCAGGGATATTCACAGAGGCAGGCTGGCTGGCTGTAGGAGGCGGGGGGCCACCTAAGAGAAGAAAGCAAAAGAGAACAAAAATGGGCAGGGAGTTAGGTTCCTTTTGAAGGCTATCGGGCCCTATGATTATGAACTAGCAAGGCTAGCAATGAGACAGATGAACAGGACAGTGTTATTAGACCCAAGACACAAATCGTCAATCTTCTAGTCAAGCTCTGTGTGTGTGCAGGGGGGGGACTGCGGCGTGATATGGAGGTGACAGGTCAGCAGATGTGAAGACAAAACACGCCAGGAATGTTAGAGATATTAGTTCAAGCTTAGGGAAAATATGGTTTACAGACAACGATTTCACTGAATAGAATGTGAAATAAGTGGATTTCTTTCCCTTGCCAATCACAATTTAGAATTCAACTCAGGTATTAGTATGCCATGAAGCCAGACTAGTGATCCAATCCCAGGTATTAACCACATCATCCTATACACATTCTTAATTAATTTCCACAACCAAGATGCCTGAACTAAAAAGGTCTGAGTTCTACTGCATTGCTTTAGTGAACTGCTATCCCACAGAGAGAGACACTTTAGCATGGTAGGATAAATCTCCTATCCTGCTTTGATTCTAGTCTTTCTCAAGTGGAGACGACACCAACCTAGTATTTACACCTCGGCGCTACTTCCACTGACCACCTCTGGTCCCACTCACAAAACCACCATCATCAGCAAGAGCCTCTCCTAGGGAGAAAATACTAATAAATTGTAGCTGATCTTTAAGAACAGCAGTCTACCAAGGAGAAGGCTTTGGTAATTGTTTCTGTGGTCAACACGTATTTATGAGAACCACGCAAGTCTTAACAGCAGCCTCCCTCCTCTTTGCTTAGGATTATACTCAGAATCTCTTGACCTGAGGGCAGCCCCTTGAAGTGGGTGGATCCAGTGTTTAAAGAAGCCACATTCATCCACTGTTAAGACATTTTATTTCACCGGCCTGTGTTCACTGTGCAAATGTGAATCACTCTGTGAACCGACACATATTTCCCATTTCCCCTCTTCCTTTCAACAGTTCCATCTGACATACATGTTTTTTGCCAGGATTAGACACTTTTGCATAATCCCACAAAAGTACTGATTACGCACCTTGGCGCAAATACGTCCATTTCGGCAAAGGCAACCTCCTCGTTGTGTAATCAAGACACCAGTTTTCTTAAAATAACTTACTTTCTTAAAGTAACCTGTTCTAGCCATCTCCAGCTACAAGGTGCAACCGTGAGGATGCAAGCATACTGACCTGACTCTACGCTTCCCAGCAAGGCTGGGGAGGCCATGGTGAGGGGTGCTTTATGGTTTGGAGGGATCCCAGGACTCTGAAGGGGAGGTTTTGGAGAAGAGGTCCATCCAGGTGATGGGGCAGGAAGTGATGGAGACTTGAGGTGGACAGGTGAAGCAGCAGCAGACCCCAAGACAGGGGAGGACTTAATGGAAGCAGCAGCAGCTGGGCCCGCCAGCATGCCTGCCAGCTGCGATGGAGTCTGGGGGGACTTGAGGTTCCCCGAGGGCGAGCCCAGCATTGGGGACTGGACTTGGTGCATCGTGGGAGATTTCAGAGGGTTAATGCCTGGGGAATGCACCTGGCCGCCTGCCACAGATATATCCAAGGGCTTCCGCCCCAGGCCACGCTGAACGGGAGGAGCTGTGTTGAGGCTGCTGGGGTTGCTGGAAGGGTTGAGAGGTAGTGGTGGCATATGACTGAGCCGGTTGTTAGTCCTTTGGTCGGGCCCAATTGGTTCTCTGAGATTCCGCAAGCCACTGCTGCTGCCTGGACCCTGAGACATGGGAAGGAAGGGCCGAGGGCCCACACCATACTCCTGCTGAGGGTGCTCGCCGAATGGCAGGGGCACCATCTTCTGCTGAGCAGGCAGCACATCTGAGCCACCTGGGCGCAATTTCATCATCTCCTCAGGGCCCACCCCAGCCTCTCTCATCTTCTGAGGTATCATCTGAGAGTTGGATCCCATGCTGACATTTAGGTTGACATCTCCCTTCATCCCACTAGGAACCATCCCAAACTCAAGTTCCCGAGCAGGGCCTATCTGTGGAGGCATTCCTTTTGGAAAGTCACCCCTAGAAGGACTCAGAGGGCCCTCAACGGGTATTCGAGGGAAAATGGGGTTATTCCCAGGCTCCATGTGGCGTTGGGTGCCTGGGATCATCCTATTCATCTCCATGCTGGGCCTGATGCCTTCCATGCTCATCCCTGGGGGCAGACCCAGCTGTTTCTCTGCCAGCTGCTGTTGAAACATCTCTTCAGACAGTCCTTGGGGGTTTGGGAAGCGTTCCCCTCGGCCAGGACCACTGAAGACGCCCTGGCCAGGAGGAAAATTCCGACCATCTGGGATTTTTGGCACATCATCTGGCCAACTGACTCCAGAAAGACCTGCTCTAGAGGCTGGATTGGGCACATTTGGCCCCTCCATTTCAGAGTTAATCATTCCTGCAAATCCAGGGAGGCGCATCTGGCTCCCTGGCATGTTGGGGTGGGGAGCCATGCCCCTCGGAGGCAGAGAATGTGGCATGTTGATACCATCAGAAAATGGCTCTGTGCCCCCAGGTGCCCAGCCTTCACTAGGGGTCATCTGGTATGGAGGGGGAGGCCCTCGGACCACTCCCCGAGGCCCGTGCTGATGGACCATCATATCCTGGAGGGAGCACTGCTGGACCACCACTTGTTCCTGCTTCCTCCTCTTCTCTTCGTAAAACTCCTGCTGCAGTTTCAGCCATGCTATCTGCTCGGGAGTCATATGGTCCAGGTGGTCGGGTCCTATGGGCCCAGACTGGGAGTTCATAGAAGGTGGAACCATTTCATCTGGAGCAAAGGGCACATCTCTATGTCCTTGAGGGCCAAATGGAGCTCCCACATCTGTCCGGGGCCCAGGTCCCTTACCTAGGCTTTGGGATTGAGCCATCATGGCCTGTATTGGCCCTTCTGGCTTTTTCTGAGGCCCATCTAATACCCCAGTATTCTGCTGGGGTCCCCCACTTTGTGCTCCTGTGAATTCTTTCTCATCAGGGAAAAGCATACGCTGGATATCTCTAAGAGTTTGTAAGGAGCGCTCTCGGTGCTCCAGCTGCTCCTGAGATAGGCCATCGGGGTTCTCTCCCAGCGCGGGGGGCTCACCACTGGACACTGGTGGAGGAGGAGGGGCTTTGGGATCTGCTGAAGAGCTAGTGCTCCCCTGGGAGACTGGGGTCACTGCTCGATTGTTGGGTGTCGAGTTTGGCCCGGTACCATCTTGGGGCAGTGGAGTGGAGCTGGCAGGACTACCTACAGAAGGAATCAGTTTGTTTTCTACCCCAGGACTATCCCGGTCCAGGGGACGTGGGGGTGCGGCAGGCTTGGGTGCTGGTGCCGGATTGGGTGGAGTTGGCTGCAGTCTGGTGTTCTGGGAAGAGTTCTGGTCCTGGTTCGCTGGAGCTGGGGGCTGTTGTGGGAGAGGTTTTGGATCATTCCGAAGGACAGATATCTGTGTGTTCTGAAGATAAACGAGATTTTTAAAATCGTTGGTAAACTGAACAGAAGAGCAATTAAAAGAGCAAGATATGTTACAAAGGACTTGTCTCAGTCACATAAATCTATACTGACACTTGCTGTAGAAATTGCTCATGTACGACCCCACTTTGGACATGGAGACATTTTTATTTTTACTTTTTTTAAAACTTACTGTCAAATGTCATCCTCTTTCCCTGGCTGAAGATTAGATTTCAATAACTTTATAAGAATGCCAGGGGAGAGCCACTCTGCCAAAGTGAGTACATTTGAGTATCTATTTCGAGGAACAGGTTTGATATCACATGTCTACTATGTGTTTCTGATTCTGAGAGAGATTAGTTTCTTGGTACGTGGGAGGCTGTACCTAACATCTTTTTCTTTTCCCTGAAAGTACGCTGGGTATGTAGACTTCTCACTGTCAATCAAAAGGTCTGATGCTTCCATCTGAAAGAGAAAGCGTAAGTCACTTGCAGCATTGTGCTCTACCAGCTGGAGGCAGCGAGGAAGTCTGCTCCATCCCAACGTCTCCTCTAAGGGAGACCACTGAGGCACTCCCCTCCGCGAGTTTCCAGGGGGCCTGACATCTCTGGTTTCTGTTTTTGGTTTGCGATCACTGATTCATATTTGATAAGAATTTGCATATCAACTGTAGTAAGATAATCTGCAGGTGGGAAGTGTCTGTGGAGAAATCTGAGGCTATCTAGCTCATAGTGTCTCTTGATCTATTCCTTCTAACAGACAGCAGACTGCCCTTTTAACAGGCTGGATAATTGACTTATTGTTATTTATTACATACCAATGCTACACTACGTTTGGGTAAAAGTACAAGCACAAGAGGTAACACGGACATCGTGAGTGTTTGGAAGAGGGATGTGTACGTTTGGGTCTAAACCACAGCACTTGCAGAGACTAAGACTGAAGACCAGAAGGGCCCGGTCTACAGGCTCAGTCTCAGAAATCTTTCGCCAGCCTCCAGATCCCTTTTCTGGTGTTCATCTGCTCCTACTTGTTCACTTAATCCAGTCTGTATTTTCAAACCCTTAAGGCTTTTACTTAATTTCCCACCTACTCTCTGGAATGTGTCTACCTGTGTGCAAATATGTAAATGAATCATTATGCATATCTCTGCATATGAACAGTTTGTGTTGTACATACACAAAAGACATATCTTTGAGTGTTTACATTCTGTGAATATATATACGAATATTTCACTTGGAGGTGCCCATGCACATTTAGATAAGATTTGTGTGGGTAAGAGTGGCTGAATCTGTATGACTCTGCACAGTCAAGTGTATTCTGGACCGGGCACGGTGGCTCACGCCTGTAAGCCTAGCACTCTGGCAGGCCGAGGTAGGAGGATGGCTTGAGCTTAGAAGTTGGAGACCAGCCTGAGCAAGAGCGAGACCCTGTCTCTACTAAAAACAGAAAGAAATTGGTTGGATAACTAAAAATATATAGAAAAAATTAGCTGGGCATGGTGGCTCATGCCTATAGTCCCAGGTACCTGGGAGGCTGAGGCAGAAGGATCACTTGAGCCCAGGAGTTTGAGGTTGCTGTGAGCTAGGCTAACGCCATGGCACTCTAGCCCGGGCAACAGAGTGAAGACTCTGTCTCAAAAAAAAAAAAAAAATGTATTCTGTGTCCACAACTCTCTAACTGGAGTGTGGAGGTCACGTGAACTCCTCTTCTAGTGCCATTTTAAGTTTGGTTTCATTGGTCAGGCTTCATTTGTTAGTTATGGGTGGGTGCTGATTACATATAGAGTGACTGTGACAGTAGAAATCGTTTAGTTTCACCCTTGTCATTTTAGATTTGGAGCAATGGATTATTCCCAATTCCCTCCTTAACTCCTTTTCTGATTTCATTTTAGTGCCAGAGAAGATAGAGGTGATAACTGCATTTGAAAACTGTCATTGAGTCAATAAAATGTTGGTTTGAGTTGCATGTACCCTGTGCATTCCAAGACAACAAGCATTTTAAGTATGTATCCTCTATCCCTGAGTAGTGGAGATTCACAGGGAATGTGAAGTTCCTTATCTAAGTTTAGGAAAGCTCAAGCTCTGCTTATGTCTACAGAGATGGAGCCTTCTGATACACAAAATAGGAAAAATGGCATCTATTTTTATCTTGAATTGTCACTTTGATCATTTATTGTCATTTAACTTTTCCCATGTTTAAGACTCATCCCAGTATTAGGTTTTATGCTCTCTGAAAGCAGGGACTATGTCTTGTACCTCTTGGTATTCCCCATAACATTCGGTTCAACACCTTGACAATGCTAGATACAAGAAGTATCTTTTGGTTCAATTTGGTAAACTACATGCATTAAAACATCCACTGTATGCTTTTTCTAAATGGAGTTTATAGCAGGTGCTTAAGATCCAGACAGAAAACAGACTAACATTTTATTATAATTTTAGAAATATCAAGCAATTAAAAGCATTCAGTGGTCCTCTCATTTTGAAATAAAGTGAGTCACTGAGACTCTGATTATGGTACTATCATCCCACACTCCAGCACTGTAGTTTTAGTTGTTGCTTTTTCTCTCTGTTCTTCGACTAACTCAAGAGTGTTATTTTTTAAAAACCTGCTCTGTACATAGGGTCTGAATTCAGATTTTCCCAAAGCTAGTCACATGGAGGAAACCCTAAGATATCCTCTTATAGTTTGCATCTTCTGCCCCTAGTAATTAATCTACCAGCATTCTAGCAGAAAATAAAAAACGTGTGATATGCCCAACATTCCACAATGCCAAAATTAGGTTAAATGCTCAGAATGCAGCTCATAGATCAAGACTATCTCCCTATCAATTAAATTACCACTTCTCTCCCTCTGCAGTCACTGCGGAACCATTAAACCATTATTCCATTTCCGAAACAACATACCAGAGGGGCTGTGCTTCTCTCTGTCTTGCTGTTAGAAATGTTCTGGATGTGAAAAGAGACGATAGTTTCCACGTGGCCCTTCAATACAGCTTCTGCAGCTCTGCGAAGACAGAAGAGACAGCACGCACCAGGCCTTGTTTCTCCTTTACTAACTGTAATTCCAAAGCACTTTAACCTCAGACTGAACTTGTAAGGGAGAGGAAGGAGTATAAAGAACCATCAGAAACGTTGAATGAGAAGAAATCAAGACAAACATGCTTCACTGTTTATGTTTATCTCTTACCATAAAACTTCTGAAATTAAAAGACAGCCGTTAGCAAATCCCAAAAGAGGCATTAAAAAACAAAAAAACAAAAACCAAGATTTCCTCCTCAAACCAATCCATTGTGATAGGTGTTTTATAAAGAACCCTAGTTCAAAATCCCAACCCAAGAAGGGGCAACACAAGATCTCACAAACACCTAATGATAATCTAAGGCTGTCAGTATTCACTTTTTATCTTAAGTGGGTTAAAAAAGTCAGAAAGCAGGGCCAGGCGCGGTGGCTCACGCCTGTAATCCCAGCACTCTGGGAGGCCAAGGCGGGTGGATTGTTTGAGCTCAGGAGTTCGAAACCAGCCTGAGCAA